TTAAATGAGGCAGAGTTGAAAGTGTGCATTCAAACCTGGGACTTTGTTGAAGCTGTATGTCTTTACACTACAGTATTAACCCCCCAAAAACATTTGGTGACAAAATATAATAATCAAGCACTCTGTAAAGCACAAAATAAATTTTTCCTGCCATGACACTGAGGTCCTCCTTTCATTGCTTTGCTGCTCTGTGGACTAATTTGAAATTATTTTTCCCCATATTATTTCCAAAATACTCCAAAGGATTGATGGGTATGTATATGCCATCAGAATGATGACTGTAGAGGGTACCACAGTGTAGACATTCCCAACGTGTTACATCCTATAACAGATATAATGTAGCCACCTTCTTGTTATATAGCTGCAGGTAGCACCGCAATAAGCTCTCTGTGTTGGGTAGGTTTGTCGGTGTATTCCCACACTATGCTCTGGCAGCTTCGTTACAGATATTTGGGAAGTAATCCATATAGAAAGGATGTGCTGTATTTCATTGTGGTGCTCCTGTGGGCCAGGTCTTTGATTACCCAAATACTGCATAAGTTCTGGGCAGTGGTGCATTCATTAAGGAAGCTTCAAACACACCGAGAGATTTCTACATGAAGTTTTTCCTACACATGTACTAAAACTTTCCCAGTACATGCCTCTTCCATATAATCACACATTCATATTTATATATAATAAAAGATCACTGAAGAGTGAAAAAAGCACAACAGGACATTATGACCCAAATTCTGCAACTAACCCAGATGTTTCTAACCACCAAAACTTCAGATTCAAATTCCTTGCATTCTTTTGAGGAAGAATTTCAAAATCTGGACTCCAATCTCAGTCACAACTCTTCTATGAAACTTGCAGGGCCTAGTACAAATGCTATGCAGTATTTCATGACATGGGCAACCAGTTATAAAGACATGGCTCCAAAAGTGATCAACAGTGGTGATTTATAACCAGCACTGGCACGTGTGGTAGGGAGAGATAGGACTTCTTTTCTATTGCTAACTTTTATGGATCCATTAAATATTGACTTTTTATTTCGGACAGAGAGAAAAAAAAGAGAGGAAAAGGCTCTCAAGACATACAAAACAGTGTCTTGTTTCCTAAGAGATTTACTCCTGGCTAGATGAGTTGCAATCAGATTTAAAAATATGGCTAGCAATACTTGAGACTGCTTATTATAGGCAAACTGGAATAGAATGCATGTAGTGGTGCCTTTGAGTTATTGTGAGCTCCTTATCGACATGACAGCAAAGGCACAATTACATGTACTCCATTCAACTCTGACCCCGCTGCAGCAGTATTGCAAGTTCCTTTTGAAACTCTCCCTACAGGCAGTTGTTGATTTAAGTGAGCACGCTGAGGCATTTCCACCAGTCTTAACTTTTTAACTTAGTTATTTTCCACAGGTGGAATATTCTTCTCCTCTTGCTTTATAAGCCCCATGTCACTGCTGTGTCTAAACACTTTAGGGCGCATCTACACTTTGGATCATAGTGTCATATTATGCTTTTTGCACTCTGGTGATCTTTTATTTAATATAAATATGAATACATGATTACATGGAAGAGGCATGTACTGGGAAGGTGTTAGTGTAGAGAAAAGACTTCATGCAGAAATCCTTCAGTGGGTGAATCTACATGTGTGCTTTACTGTGGAGTTGACTAATTAGCTCCTCGGTAAAGCGTCACCATCTACATGTGCACTGGTATTAGGACTTAGTAAATTAACTCCACAGGAAAATAGTACTGTCAGGGACAGTATTATCTTACAGAGAAGTCATTTACTGCACTGCAATGCCCATGTGGATGGTGTTTGGGACAGCAGCACTTTGGGCTAGGGCAGACCAGCCCCAAGCTGGCAGCAGACTTGGTGGGGAAGGTCAGCCACATGGCTCCACAGTTTCAGCACTCATGCCCCAGCCAGCCCCTCTGCTGCCCAACACTACCACCTGCACCCCAGGGCTGAGCCCCCTGAGCCTAGTGCCAGGATGGGGCTGCTCTGCCTTGGTTCAAAATGTTGCTGTCCCAGGAGCACATGTAGATGTGCCCAGGAGCAGTGCACTCTGAGTAAACTGCTCTGGAGTTTATTATGTCGCATTCATTGCAAATGTAGATTCACCCAGTATGTTTGAGGCTTCCTTAATGAACACACATTGCCCAGCACTTATGCAGCATTTTATATATAATGTGAGAAGTGGCCATTGTAGACGAGGAAATGAGCAAGTGACCATGATTATTCACAGATTCACACAAGTTCAGGGTTGGAAGGGACCTCATGAGATCATCGGGTCCAACCCTGCTTCTTTGGGCAGGAAAGACTGCTGGGTTCAAATAACCCCAGCAGGGTGTACATCCAGTCTCCTTTTGAAGATATCCAGGGTAGGTGCCTGCACCACCCCTGCTGGGAGTCTATTCCAGAGTCTGGTCACATGAACCATGAAGAAGTTTTTCCTTGCATTCAGTCTGAAACCTTCTTCTACGAATTTATGACTGTTGCTCCTGGTTTTCCCCTGGGGCACTTTGGTGAATAGTTGTTTGCCTAGCCCCTGATACTCACCCCTGATATATTTGTAAGCTGCCACCAAATTCCCCTGAAGTTTTCTCTTTTCTAGGCTGAACAGTCCCATATCTATCAGCCTTTCCTTGTATGGTTTGCTCTTCAGGCCTCTAATCGTACGAGTGGCTCTTCTCTGGACTCTTTCAAGCTTCTTCACATCCTTCTTGAAGTATGGTGCCCAGAACCAGACACAGCACTCTAGCTGCAGCCTCACCAATGCTGAGTACAGTGGGAGAATAACTTCCTTAGTTTTGCTTGAGATGCATGTTTTACTTTATGTTTAACTTTGAGTGTTTCTACTCAGGAGTGCAACCAGGAATACACTGGCATCACTCCATCCTCCTGAGCATCTATGACAGTGGTAAAAGAATGGGCAAGGACTAGTCTACGTCTGTGCTGGGTCACATGCTGTGCTACATGCCCATATCATACTTACGGTTTTGGTTTCAGATTTTCAAAATCTGACCAGTATTAGAGCTGGTCATTGTTCCCTGGATTTTCATTGAATTTTCAGAATTAAAAAAAAATAGTGACATTTAAATTAAAATTCCTCTTTTTCAGACAAATTTAGAGCTGGTCAATTTTTAGGAGATTTTTTTAAATCTTGAATTTTTGGAAAGCCTAAACAGAACATTGAGAAAATAATGAAAACAATTGGCATTTTTCTCATTAGGCTTTCTCCAATCAGCTCTAGGCATTATCTATATTAAAACATAAATCTCTTTATCTGAGAAAAAATTTCTGTTGAGTTGAAGGCAGAGTAGGGTGGCACCTTAGAGCAGTGGTTCTCAACCTTGTTAGACCCAAGGTTCCCCTTGTTAGACTCAAAGCACCCTTTGAAACCTGACAGCTCTTAGTTTTTACTTCTTTTTTTTACTACAGTAAAATACTAGAGCAATTCTTAAATAGAAAGGAAAACAGTAATTTAAATAGAAAGGATAGAAAAAGGGGAGGAATGGATAGAGGAAGGGGGACTGCTGAGAATGCTAATTGTGGGTCAAAGAAATCAAAAGGGATAAACAAAGCTGTTAACCCTGTGATTCTCACTCAGCCGAGGTGCTGTGGCACCCTGGGGTGCCTTGGGATCCTTTCAAGGATTCCACAGGGTCCCATGCAATGTGAGCTCTGTTAGACATGCAAACCCAATTCATAAGATAAACCCAAAGTTTTCAAGTAGGAATTCATAGTGTTAAGAACATTCTGACCCATGTTGTGGTCTTTCTGAGCTCTTTGCAACAGAAGAGTTGCTCTGTTATTTTTCTGTAGTCAAAAAGGCAGTGTAAAGAAAGAGCTGGCATCTTCCGAGGGTTGCCTCAAATCTAGCAAGGGGTGCCTTGAGTTTAACAAGGTTGAGAACCACCAAGTTACCCTACCCCACTGAGGGACATAAAAGCTAGTCCAGGTAATGGAATAAGAATCCAGTTTCTGTTGAGACAGTACTTAGCCTAACCCAGTCCGTGAATTATTTACTTAGCCTAGCTAAACTAGCAAAACATATAAGTCTTTAACAACACTCTTCAGTACATGGCAAGTCCAGATAGATTTAGTATGAGAAGAGATATATTCTAAGTAGAATGTCTTTATACTTTCTGGTTACATTTTTTGCAAAGCTTCTTACCGAGTTTTTCACTTGTTTATTCCCTGCTGTGAACCAATTGCATGTTTTCCTATTTCATGCTATGAAAAGTCAGAAAATGGATTTCATGCTTTTGACCATCAGGTATCTAGTCATTAAAATTTGTTATGATGTGTACCATTAAATGTGTGCTAGTCTGGAAGGAGGGAGGATAAGCTAGATAATTACTGGAACCGGCAGTAGAGTTCTTGCTGTTCTCTAACCCTTAACTCAAATTGTTCTGCAAAAATACCATAATTACATTGTCTATCAATGATAGGATAATACAGTTTTCTTTCCTCTGAAGTACTGAGCACTGCAAGTGAAATGATGAATATCCTCATTCCAGCATGTCACAAAAGGCATCCATTGTACTGAGGTTTGAGCAGGCACTCTGCAGTTTAAGAAATATCCTGGTTAGATAAGCCTGTTCTATTGCAGTGTTACCAGGTTCAGTTTGATTTCACTGGCAAAGGCATCATATTTGCACACTCCTTCCTGTATTAGATAGTTTAACACAAATAGGGCCCAATCTTGTAGTCTTAGATTAGGCAAAACTTCCATTGAACTCTGGCTCTATGAAATCAAGTAAAGACTGCAGGTGTAGCTGAAAGGGAGGCTTGTTCTTTTAAAAGAAAGCGAGAACCTGTGATACAATTTGACACACACGTAATATATCAAGCATGTGTGAAGTCCAACTCAGATGCTTTTTTATGGAATCAGATCCTTAGTATTTTTTTCTTCCTCCCCAGGAACCTACTTTTGCTGCAAACAAGCAGATATTGTGCAGAAATATGTGGTCTCTCCTGGAGTCTGTAAGGGGACTTCTGAGTCTGTGAGTAGTTTTGGCTTTAATACAGGTTGTTGTAAATAGTGAACAGAAATATTAATAAGACCAGGCTGGTCTGGAGTGGTGTAAGACTGAGAGGAGCAGCAAAGTGGAAAATAGAAACAGCTTCCTTCATTCTCATATGACCTATAAAGGGAAATGGAAAAAATTAGCTACTCTGTGGATCATCTGACACACTGTTGTAGACCAAGTTAAGCCCTACTGGTGTTGTAAGCTAGCACAGTACTATTTTAAGAACAAATGGTGCTGGTTATCCACAGAAACATGTCAATGCTGTGTGTGTGGAAAGAAAGAGTTTGATTCATGCTGACTCTACAACTCCCTCTAGGGATGGGAGCTGTAGGACATGACTGAGGAGCTGCTTAGTTCACAGTACAGTGGGAACAATGCTGCTGATTCAGAGGTGTGTGGAGAGGGGTGTGCAGTGTCTGGGCCTTTCTACACACCACAAAAATGGTCTTTAAAGCAGCTTAAATGCCCTTTTGCATTGCTTTAATGGCTTTGCCGCTTGCAAGTTTGGTGGTGTATTCCGCTTTAAAGGCATCGCTGTTTGCACATTCGGCAGCATATTCCACTTTAAATGACTTTGGTACATAGCAAGATAAAACACCTCCAGGGTGTTTTAGTTTGCTACCTAACAAAGTGAAACAGTGCACGGGGTGCTGGAAGCTGATGTGCTGAGGGTTAGCAGGCGCCACGCAGTTCAGGGCAGACAGGCTCCACTGAAGAGAAAAAAAAAGCAGCAAGATTGATCTTTTTCTTTTCTTTTCTCTCCAGAGCCCGCCTCCCTGCCTGAGCTGCCCTGGGGCCCAGTGCTTCCTTCCATGGCCAAATGGAGGTTGGTGCTTCCCTCCGTGTCTGTACAGCCACTGGGACTGCCTGAGCTGGGTGCCAGCAGGCTCGTGCCAGCTGCAGGCCCTCATGCAGCTCAGGGACCACTTGGCCCGCTGGCAACTTGCCTTCCCTCCTCACCCCCCAACCCCGGCGGAAAAGGCAGGTAAGGATCAGGTCCCCACCTTTGTGTACATGCCATGAGGGTTTAGTTTAGCTTAGTTCTCCCTAGATTGAAGCGGTCTTTTAAAAAACCCACCATTTCAATTTAGGGATAATTAAACCCCCATAGCGTGAACAAGCTGCTATGTTTCTGTTCAGTTCCTGCATTCCAGCTGCAGCTGCCCAGCCTCTGCCTCCATGTTGGAGTGGATTTCATGATCTTCAGCTTCCACACAAAGCTGATCCTGGAAGGGTACTGAGTACCTTTTGTTATGTGTTGAGCGCCTTGAATCTCTCTGGCTTTTTTTACAGCCATGAATACTGAGGGGAGTCAGTAGCTGAGCTTACCATGAGGGGGATGAATTTCATTCTAACAAGTGATAGTCAATGCTGATGAGTCAGGAGCCACATGAGCGGTCAGTGTACCAAGGAGCCACAACATAGATGTCCATAGGGGAACGGTGGCAAACACATTCCAGCCCCAAAGCTGAAAAAGTACATTAGTTAATAGAGTTACGTTGTATTATTCATGATTCAGGAGAAGCAAGCCCAATGCATAATGTCTTTAGAAAAAAAACTTTGATGTGATTTTCTGTGAAGAATCCACAAGTAATAAGTTGAAGGCTTGGGGGCTGCTGTCCTGGGTATCATTATTCCCATTGATTTGGGTAAGGAGAAGTTGATTTGATTCCAACTCCCTCATGTATTCTGTGTTTTGAATATACAGCAAAATGGACCATAGGATCATAGAAATTAGGGTTGGAAGGCACCTGAGGAGGTCTTCTAGTCCAAACCCCCACAGGACCACCCCCAACTTTTAAACATTTAGGAAAACGTAACTCCTTACCATTTCATGTATTTATGCAAATTGATTTTGGACATTTTTATTAAGACTGGACAGCTGCCAATGGTTTGATGGCAGAAGGAGCTAGAGTCACGAGGGGGACCTGGGTGCCTAACTGTGACTTTAGGTTCCTAAGTCCAAAATCTAAAGAATCCTTGTGTGACCTTATGAGCATCTAAGTTTCTGCCAACAAAAGCCCCCTGATACTTATGTTTCTGCCCCGGTCATGCACAAAGCCAGCTAAACCTTGATAATACCAAGTTTTTTGGCACTAAACTGATGCCTGAGACCCACACAAGCATGGACTTGCACCTGATTCTTCCACCTCACATATGAGTGGACCAACCATTGAGCTTGAAGGTTCAGGCTCTTGTGTGCATTTTGTTTGCACATAATGTACCTTTACGTGAAGTTAAGCAGCTCTATTTCAATTTTTGGAAAAATGGCAGTTTTTTCAAATAAGCACAAAATTAGAACATTTCATGGTATTTGAGAACGGAGTTGTCCAATGTGAAAAATGACTGCAATTAGTTGTGAATATGTGAAAACGATTTAGAAAATAGCCATTAGCAGTATATTCAAAATCAAACAATGGTGGGAATTTTGGACTACAAAAATATGTGCGTATGTTACAATTTTTAATGAAAATTTACTTCAAGTCTGCCAAAAAAAAATCAGGTAAAGGTAAACAATCCTTCTGCTAAAAGTCTAAGAAAACATTTTATTTTTCCTACTGTTTTCAAGTAAAATATATTTTCAGCTCTCCTTGTAGATTCTCCCAGGAGTTTCAAGGGCCTAGATTTTCATCTGGTGTACATCACGTCAGCACTGCTAAAGTAAAGGAGTTGTATTGATTTATACCAGATGAGGATCTAGCTTTGATTTTTTTTTGTGGTCTGGTTCCTTGTATATGCACACAACATATTGGTTATTATTAATAGTATGTTAGGTGTTGCTAAATGTTACCTCAGAAGGCAAACATGTATCATCGAAGGACATTTTTGCAGAAGACAGGTAGGTGTTGGTGATGGTAATGTCTTCTAGTTCAGTGCTGAAGTGCTCAGACTCCTTTATGGCATTATAGTTTAGAGCCACACTGTAATTAGCAGGTTTCTCTGAGTGTTTCTGCTGGCAGTTGCAGAGTTTCCTGAAGGCTGCTCTGAATTTCTGGGACATGAGATTGTAAATCACAGGATTGATGGCACTATTTAGATAAATGCAGATTCTACAAAATAACAGGAACCAATTTTCTTGGAAAGGCTTGGAGAGAAAGGAGTTTACAACAACCAGTGTCCGATATGGCATCCATAACAAGGCGAAGAGTATGACAACTACAGCCAGCATCTTGGTAACCTATGGGAAACACAAAGATAGAAGATTGGAATTCAGTACTTTCTAGGCAAATACACATTACAAGCTATATATTATGTGGCCAACCTCAGACTCCATGTTTAAACCTCCTGAATTTCATGATGATCTGAAATACATCTGGTTCAGAATTTAACCCTATTCCTTTTAATCTGCAGTAAGACAAATTCACAGATCCGAACTCCCATGAACATTTATAAAATAGGGTTTGGTTCATTAGGGCTGATACGTAATCCCTATTTAAGGCTGTTTGCCACTACTATAATCAGGAAGAAGTGTCTACCCCCACTCGAAGGAAAGGAACTCATCTCTTCTTCAGTAATATTAAGAACTTGCTAACCACTGAGCTACTTATCAACTTCAACGGCTACTACCAAGGTAATGGTTGAGTGCAAAATTAATGTTATCCCCCATCCATGGCTGATTCAGATTTGTTTCTAATCTTAAAAGCCGAAGCATTTAATTTAAAACTAGGTTTTTGCCATATGATTTATATTCCATGATTTAAAATTTTAAATTATAGCCTAAAGTTTGGGGATAATCTTCTGAGTCTTAGAATTCTAGGAAAACTCACTTACTGAGTTTGTTCCTTAATAAAAGAAATTAAAAATACTAACCTATGAGCGGTCCAAAAGAGCTTAAATAAACTCAGTAAAAAGAATGAAAAACGTGTGCGTGAAAATCAGTGTGTTCTTATTCTGATCCTTTCCTTTGCAAATGCACCTGTCACTCTAAGAATAAGTTAGGTTTATCAGTGACTGGTAAGTAAAAGGCAGTATATGCAAGTTAAACATTTAAGAAAGTTTAAGAAACATATTAATAGTCAAGGTGGCATTTTGTTGATGATGAGTTAGCACAGTAGAAATATACCATCACATCAATAGTGGGACTGCCCAGTATAAATCAATATGGAACCCAGGCAGTTTTATATGCAGGAACTGGGCAGGGTGAGGATACTTACTAGTTAACTGATAAAAGTGTCTTCACTGTGTTTCTTTGTCTTTTCCTTCTCTTGCCAAGACAGAATGATTGCAAATTACTGACAAACTAATTTATCACCAGGTGATCAATGTTGTTACTCATTATGCCCAGCCTCCTTCCTTTGAGTAGCAGAAGAAATATGGCAATGCTAAAGCAGATCCTACTACAATAAGTGTTATTCAGGCTATGTGGGTATAATTTCATTGCTTCCAGGAAGGATATACATTTTAATTAATTCAGCAACAGGACTGACGTTTACTTCGTTAACTCTCCTAAAACCCCTCTGACTATGTTTGCTTATTTTGTTTTTATGTCTTTATTAAAGCTGTAGGAGGGGACATAATTTTCTTGTCTTGTAATCAGATTGTTCATTATGTAGAAAATTTGCAGTTTTATTGCCCAAGGTATACAGTTTCCCCTATCTGGGTAAAAAAAGACATACCAGCTATAACTAGTTTTCCACACTTACATTTTTTCTCTTCGTACTTACAGATATTTCTATTTATAATTATTTATATTTATACAATTTAAAACCTCTGTTTATTCCACATTTTATGAGATAGCTTAGGAATTTAGAATACGTATGCAGGAAGTGGTAGACCCGGGTGTAGTAACCTCCTCAGATGCAGGTTGAAACTCTCACCTCCCTGTTGGTGCTCTAACCATCAGGCTATTGGCCAGTTTGAAACAATGCCACTGAGCAGAAAGGCATGCATGATGCATAGGTGCAGAGAGAGAGCAGAAGAGGTAGCCTGATGATACAACCCCTTTCCACTAAGAGAGGGGTTATCTGAATTCTGGCTTCTAAACTCATTATGATTATACAGTGGTTGCATCTACATGTGTGCTTTAATGCACATTAGCCTATTTTAATGTGCATTAAAGGGTCACAAAAAAACCATGCTCTTTAGCTAATGTGCATTAAAATAGGCCAATGCACATTTTTCTAGTACTTCACAATAGAGGTTGTGTCTACACATGCATTAATGCACCTTTTCTCATGTGCATTAAATTTGGTACCTCTGGGCATTTTTACACATGCTCTGGTAGGCATGGGGAGGCACTTTAATTAGCAAGCCATGTTAATTAAAAGTGCCTGAGTTTCATGTGTATCAGTGTCTCCTCACTGAAAAATAGTGGTGGGATGGGGCACTTTGAACTAAAGCTCATTTTATGAGCTTTAGTTCAAAGTGCCCCCCCACCATTTTTTAATGCAAGGATGCTGATACACGTGATGCTAGAGTCTGGAGGAGCGCATTCATTTCCATGTTCCAGCAGACTCAGTTAATCAAGTCTGCTCCAATGCACTGGCTTTCCAGCATGTCAAAGCAGGCTCCCTTCGCTTGTATAGCAGCCCTCCAATGAGGGGTGCTAAATTAATGCACAATAGGCTGCGCTAACATGTAGTAATGCCTTTGCATGCTTTTTAGTGACAATGTGCAACAGACCATTTTACTGTGCATTAGCATGATGTAACTTCTTTTTTTAGGTGATACTTTAATGCACAATAAAATAGTCTACTGAGCATTAAAGCACATTTGTGGATGAGCCCAGAGGTACTAGATTTAATGTGCATTACCTAAAGTGCATTAATGAATGTGTAGATGCACCCAGTTATTGGTAAAACATAAGAACAGTCCTGGATCAGGGACTGGAAACAAGAAGTTTCCAGAACATGTGTATTGGACCTGACCTCTCCTAAGCCTTAGATAGGGGCACACCTTTTTTTTGAAGGCCAAATAGCTTGAAATGTCAGACAGGTACCAAGAAGCTCATTTCAGCCATCCTGACAGTGCTTCTGGGCATGTACAGTAGCAGAAGTTTACACCACTGAAGCCACATAGATGGCTACAGAATCTCAGATGCCCAAGCTGCAGATATTTTTTGTAAACTCCTCACTTGGATTTAGGCATTTGACTTCTACATACGTTTTATTTTTAAACACATGCATGTTCTGGATCTGGGCGACAGTGTCTTGTAATTCTGCCAGCCATGCTTTACTGTTACCCCATTTCACTCTGGGCATGACTGAGCCAGACTGGATAATAAAGTTTCAACTGTTGTTATTGTCTTTCCTTCCTCCCTCCAAGGTTGTTTTGAGTTCAGTTGCAGTCAAGCTCTTAAAATGAAGCAAGTCTATTCAGATGAGAATAACCACTCTTTGTGGGAAATGATCCACTTATTTTAAGGGAGAAAGAACTGTATCATGTTTGTGGTTCATTGTACTGGTTGTTTTTCCAGTGTGACCCAGACCAACTAGCAAATGTCGCAGTTTGGTACAGGCGTTCAAAAAGAGAACGAGTAACAGCAACAATCTTCACAGATAAAAATCATTTTCTTACCAAATGCTCAGTGAGGGGTTTTGAGATCATCTCTAGCTAATCACAAGCTATTTAAATGTTATCTTGATTTTAGCATAACTGTATGGGAGAATATTGCAGACATTCCCTTACAATAGTTATAGTAGGTATACGTTTGAATTCTCTGTTCTCTTTGGAGGAAATTAATCATACTCTCTTTATCAAGAAACTAAGTGTTCTTACTAATGGGATTTAAGGAAAATAGCTCATATGATATAGTAGTATAAAATGAATTATCTACAGCAGGGGTTGGGAATGCATGGCCTGCAGGCCCATGAAAAGATTGGATTTGACCCATGGCCAGGAGGAATCAGTAGCATACAGCAGCAGAGAAAAATTTTCCATCCTGTCTCCTACATTTCTCTGCTACATACCCTGCCCAGTGTGCCTTGGACAGTGTCTAGCAGGTGGCTGCCTCAGGCTATGTGCCCAGCTCTGTGCCACAAGCTGTTCTCTCATTCCACTACTGCATCTTACTCTTGCTGCTGAATTCAGATCTACCCATCACAATTAGTGATGAAAAGTGGGTATGAATGGTGGCAACTGCAAGTGGAGGCTGGAGATGGGGACATGAGAGCAGCCTTGGCCCAGAGCAGGGAGGTCTAGGGCACTGCACAGGGGATCAGCAGCCCACAGCAGTGGCCGGGTTACAAGTAGTGTCCCGTCACTCATAGACGTTGCTGACTCCTGGTTTGCGGGTCTGAGCCACAGCACATTCAAGTCAACAGACATTCTTCCACTGGCTTCAATGGGCTTTGGACTTGGGCCCTAGACACTGGGTATGTCTACACGTGCGCCTGACTGCTGTTGTTACTGTGCAGTCATTTAGCCGTACTAACGGTAATAACCATTACTGTGCAGTCCCGGCAGTACACAGGTCGTTTCCAGCCCTACTGCACGGTAGTAATCAGATACTATGTAGTAGCTTATTGCTACCTCACTCACAGTAGCACATCACTACTGCGCAGTAGCACTGGCGTCATGGTTCATGCCCACCAATGCTACAGTGACACAGTATCTCATGTAGGCATGCCCACTGGTATCTCTGCTCTCTGTCCCTCTTTTTAGTCTGACACTCTTTGACCCCCTCAGCATCTGAACCCCCCAACCACTGTGCTGAAGAGAGTTCAGGTAGTGCTGCTGGGGTCACAGCCTGCTTACTGAAAGCGTATTGGGTGTAAACATAGGACTAACATTTAAAATAGCAAGGAGAAATGTAACTTCCAAGTGCCATTCATGAAGACATGGCTTTCTTATGTATACATCAAGTCTGAGTTAAGCTGGTAAAATTTAATTACATGTGGATTACTGAATGGGAGACCTACTGCAAAGGGCTGAGTTTTGGTGGAAATTTACTTCTTTCTGTAACACTGGTAAGTAAGCGTTACTAGTCCCCTCAGAAGTGGTTGCAGAGAATAGGAGTTGTTAAAAGTCTCTTACAGAACGATCACATTCTCACTCAAGTGTAGGTGGTTGTGTTTTAACTCTAAAAGCCCCTCATTTATTCAGTTCCAAGGACTGAAGGTTGGGGTCTGTTGCATGTAAACCAAGATGAAATACTTCTTACAGGTTCTCAAAGAGATTCAAATCTACAACATGAGTTGATCTGAATTAGCCGTTATGGGTTTCTACTCATTGAGGAAT